AATCTTTTCATAATTTTCATCAGTTATCTTTTCATAAACGTAATTTTGTAAATCAGCAACTCTTAACGGGTCAACCTGACAAAATACTAAAGTATCCCTGAAAACATAATATTTAAGAATGATTTCACCAAATGATTTAGGATAATCATCGAACGCCTGAAATGCTAACAAATCATTTACCGGAATAATCATATCAAAAGTGATATCAACTTCTTCATTTGCTTTCTTGAAAACTTCTGAAGGGTCAATATATTTACCACATACTGAGTTATCATATTTTTGAACATTATTATATAACGAATGAACAAACTTTTTAACTTTCCTTTCTGATTTTGGTTTATATGTTGCAAATGCGAAAGATTCACGGGCGCAATCCATCTGAAGATAACCAGCATCACCTCTTTCGGTTTCTACTTCTAATTGTTAAAGCTTTGATTTGATGATTTGTAACCAACGAATAAACGCATGCATTTAAAAGCGGCATCACATGTGAAAGCTTTATTTGAAACTAGAGTTGCTTTAACTTTGCGTTTAATATATGTGTCACCTAATTGGTTCACATCATGAGCCGGATTTGTAATTCTTAAATGAGTTTGTTTATCATCAAAATATGGAGCATCAGAGTCATAGCATGAACTTTCAAGTTCTCTATAATATCTTCTACCATCATTCTTTGCGAATATTTCATTTATCTTTTCGAATGAATGAAATACATTTCCATTAATCGGTTTAGTGTTTGGCACTAAATAGTTAGTCGTCATTTATTATTAAATAAAAAATCAAAATTAAAAGATGAAAATGAATTTTTAATTTTAATGAAATAATCAACTATGGCTGCAGGATTCTTTAAGAAACTGTGGGATAAAGTAAAAAGAGGAGCGCATAAAGTTTGGGAAACAATGAAGAAAGGAGCAAATTGGATATTTAAGAATAAAGAAGCAATTAGTGACGTTGCTGAACAAATAGCACCTAATGTTCCGGTAAGGAAGTATTAAATAAAGGAGATAAGTTTATCACTACAACCGAATACTAAGATAAAAATAATATTTATTTATTTTTCCACTATCTACCCCCTATTTTATTAAGTATTCCTTCAGCAATTCCACCAACTGCGTTACCTGCTTGTGCTCCCATCGCTGGATTACCTGCTTTAGCACCTAATACTCCTCCTATGATAGTTCCTGCCGTTTTCGCTACTGGTGCCAAAAAGTTTGCAACGGGTTTAATAATCTTTTGATGAAACCCAACTTGCAGCTTTCTTAATTCCTTCCCATAATTTTTTAAAGAATCCTGCCGCCATTCTGATTTAATATTAATTAAAAAATATATTTCATCACTTATATTCTAATTTTTATTTAATGATAAATGAAACCGATTTTAAAAATAAATGAAACAAAGGAGGAAGAAATAAATGAAAGTGAAAATGTTCAACAAAAAATAAACGTTGTTAAACCAATTACTGAAATAAAAATTTTTTCATCTGTTGAAGAATTTAATGACTATTATGCTAATAATAAAAAATTATTTGAAGAATTGACAACATGTAAATTGAATAAAATGTTTAAAGTTGAGGACAGAGTCCAAGACCCGGAGGGTCATGGATTCAAAATTTCAAAAATAAAAGGTGTTGTTAGTTTAAAATCTATTCCTCAATCAAGAATCACCTCATTAATGAAAATAGATGATTTAACAAAAAGAATAGAAATTATTGAAGAAAGAATGAATCAAATAATTGATTTCATAAATTCAAATAATCATTAGTTTCTTAAAGTTCAATGTTGATTCTGAGACATGAATTTTTAAAGTTTATTTTTCATTCATGAATGATAATTATATCTGATTTCTTTTACTCTCTCGTATATACTAGATTTGAAGAATTCAGAACATTTCCCATAATCTCCTAAATGTTTTCTTATCCCTAACGTGTGCCAGTTATTATATGAAACTGAATAAACTTTATCTTTATCTTTACACCTTTCATCACTTCCAATATATTTATATCTCAGTTTTGATTTAGCATTTTCATATTCATTAACGTTTAATAATTCACAGTCTTCCTTTTTAAATTGATGTTTAAGATATTCAGGATTTAATACTCTACGTTTATATGCTCCTAACTTAGTCCTAAAGGTTTTTCTACAAAATTTAGGAATTCCATCCTCTTGAATGTCATCAATGATTTCCATTTCATTATTTTCAATTTCTTCTTCTCGTTTATGAGGTCTTTGATTATGACTCCATTGATTCCATGAAATTAAATATTCTTTATCATTATATTTATACCTCATTAGCTTATTTTGGCTTTCATATTCATTTAATAATTCACAATCTTCATTTTTAAATTGAAGTTTAACCCATTCAGGATTTAAACAATGTTTAATTAATCGCGGAATATCTGACATCATCTATATATAGCTTCTTTTATAAAAGATAAAAAAATAAATTATTTTAAAATTAATGTTAATTTTTTAATGTGTTTAGTATATAAATATTTTAATGCATCGTCTATATATAGATGTTACAAAAAAAGTCACACAACCCGCACTCATCTACTACTTATTTTTGCTATCGGTTTCGCAATTTTGACACAATAGCAAGAGGGTTCTATAAGCATTATTATCAACGTAGAATCTGAATATCATATCAGAAAATGTCGCAAATCTGACATTTACCCGACCAAATAGCAAAAATAATTGAATACTTTTCGCAAAAACTTTAAAAATCGATAAAAATATGAAATATAGATATTAAAGAGACTTTTTATATAATATTCATAAAGATTTTCCAAAAATATGATACCGCAAAATTAAAAAAGTGACGTCTTGAGTGGAGTCAAAGGTCGAAATTGCTAGCTAAATGTTTTTTTAGCGAAATTGCGTATTGTACGTTTTTTTCGCAAAACGAAACCCTTAGTTTTAAAAATCAATTTTTAGAATAAAAATAGCTGTATGGCGAATTCCGTTCAAATTATTTGCCAACACTTTATGGATGAAAATTGATTTTATGATCTTTAACCATCCAAAGAATCAGAGGTTTAATACCCGACTTGTAGAAGCTCATCTCCACTGATTTCAACAAATGAGATTGCTAATTAGAGATGTTAATATAAAACTTCATTGTAATTGAAATATCTTCGATGTGTTTGTATCATTAGTAGTGGTTTTGAAATGAAACCATAATAATTTCGATTAATTTGAACGATTATGGTTTTATTTTATGTGGAAATCCTTTTTGTTAATAGTTTTTGATATTTTTATGAGGAAAATGAAAGGTAGGTCCACAAAATCGTAACGATGCTTTCTTGATTTTGGTAATGGATTTAGACTATGTAGGTACTCAATGACTAATAGACGAAGAATGGAAGAAAACTGCAAGAGCGATTTCGAGGAAATATTATTAAAATTAACATTCGATTCTTTGACCTGCAAATAAACATATTTGTACTATTAATCGGTTTTACAGAATAGATCTTGCGTTATTGTATGTTTTGAAAAAGTATCTAGAATTTTTCCTAAGATACTCATTTTGCGATATAAAATGATATACCATCTACTAGATATGTGTATTGCTTCCTATGTGGCTAGTAACTACAGAAATTGTAGTTTCAGGAAATTTGAATATATTTGGAATCCTAAGAAAGACATTATAATATTGAGCGTCTCCTATTTCAATATATCATATTGATGAAAATATAAATTCATGTAATCTGTCCTTAAATATGCTATCTAAACCTTGTGATAGAAACTCAATTTCACCATAAAATATGAGAAAATTCCAAACTATGAAATAAAACGAACATATTCACATATGAGATAACAACCATCTATATTAGGTTTCTCAATTCTTCATTTAAAATTCCAAAAAAAATTCAAAAATTTAAAATCAAAGAGAAGAAATACGAAATTTTTATGAAAATTTGCAAAATGAAAAAATTTTGGAATTCTAAACATTATTTATTTTTGATGCTTGTTCCAAATTTGTCTTTTTTCCCATATCTGATATGAATATTTTGGATTATTATTATAATTTATTTTTATTGACATATTTCATGATATTCATATAATGGTTTGTTTTAGGGAATGAATAAGAATATATTTATTTAAAAAAAGAGAAAAGGTATTAGTATAAATTTTTATTTGAGTGTATTTAAAAGGTTTTACTTCAAAAACTTTATGTAGTTTGCTTTTGTAAGCAACGTAAAACAACATCTTCAAGTTATTTGTTGCAATTCGGGGATTAAGCGTGAATTTTTGTTGTATATTAGTTATAAATTAGTTTTTAGTAGATAAATTCTTCATGTTCCCGTTTGTATCTCATTTTGTTTTTGCTTTATTGATGAAATTTCAATTTGTTGAGTGAATATCGACAAATTTGTTAATTCTTGTTTTAAGCGCAGCGGTTATATTTAGAGTCTATTAATTATATCTAGACTTTCAGTATTTTGTATTATTTTTATGGTTGAGGTTAGATCAATCGCCTAACTAAGTAACGCATGTATGTAAAATGACTTTTTCGCGAAAACGGTCTTGCAGATTTTTATGAGAGTAAGATATCAATATATACAACAATTGAGGATTAATCTTATTGCAGTGGCTTACGATTTTCATCGTTCAAAGTATCGGGGCAGATTATTAAATTTTAAGCTATACAATTTCCTTTGTAGAGCTTTATATTTTGAAAGAATAGAACGATTGGATATATTCTTATTAAGTATAAATGACATCGATTTTAAATTGAATATATGTCAACATTGTTTCTGACATTAATGTAAATACAAAGTACTAAACTACTATGCATGAAGAAAACTTCAATTTCTCTCCACAATTAAGAGAAGTTTGGAGTTTTATTACTGTGAAAAATCCTCTTGAAGTTGTTCATGAGAATTTTTTTCACTTGCGAAATAACGTATTTTTTGTGGACCTACCTTTGGAAAATGGTTAGTGTAAACTTTTTCGCTCAATAAAAAAAATTATTTCAGAGTTTACAAAAAAAAATTGTAAATGCTTGTATCAATTGATAAAACGGTCCATGTTTGGGAAATTGATCAAAGTGAACCTTCATATAAAATAGAATCTCCAATCAAGATCATTTCAAGTGCTGTTTTTCACAAAGATTGCAGAAAACTTTATGTTTGTGGAAATTCCGATATTCTTTTCGAAATTGATGTCTACACGCGTGCAAAAAAGGGATGCAAACTTCCAGAAAGCGATATAAGGTGCATATCTATCAATAACGAATCTAATTTTATTGCTCTTGGCACATCAACAGGAAATATTCATATCATTGATGTCAAAGAATTTAACATAGTTAAAACACTATCGAAATATAAGTTTGCAATTACATCTATTGATTTTTTGAAAGATCAAAAATCAGTAATTGCAGGAGACTCCTCAGGCCATTTAATAACTGGAAGTGTAGATGAAGATGCTCGTGATTATGCAGAATTCACTTCCCTTCGAGGTCCAGTTCTTTCTCTTTGTACTTTAGAAAATGGCGACGTCGCAGCCTTTCAATCAAAGTCGCTTTACATTTACGACATGTATCATCAAGAAATACTCGATGTACAGGATTTTGGCCAGTCAGCAATTATAAAAATAAATCCAATTGGCGGAAATTTACTTGTAGGCACAAACAATGGCAAACTCTTCGAATACAACCAAAGTGATAAGTCGCTTATCAAAATTACCAAGGTTTCACACGCTATTTCTGCAATTGCAGTAAATCCTGATGGAGTGATCATTGCCATAGCATATTTAGGCGGTCTTTCACTTCTTAACCTTCAGGACCCTTCAGCAAATATCGATGTACCTTGCAATCACAAAGAATTCATTACTTGTCTTGTTTATCAGCATAATTTCATCGCAATTCCGGATGACGCCATTTTCGAGACAGATACAACCAACCCATCGCAAATATGGATTTCAAGGTCCAAACTTTCAGCTTCTCGACTTACAAATTCGATGAAAATTTCCGGAATGGATTTATTCCCAGAAGAAGAAGATTTCTCGGTAGATAAATTCACATTCCGTCGAAAGCTTGTCGATATTGCCAGTAATAACTCAGATAGAACAGCCGGATCGAAAGTTTTGTCAAGAAGCGGAATTTCACGTGAAAAAATCACAAGAAGAAGCTTAAACACTGAATCAAACGAGATACAAGTCAGCGGACAACTTTCTTTCTCCAATACTGGCTCTCCTGTCTTTAAACACAGAAAGATTTCGAGGCAAAGTAAAATTGAATCTCCATCAATTTCTGATTTTCCTTTGAGACAAAATGACTCCGAAACAACATCTCCAAAAGAGAAATCACCAAAGGAAAACAGCATTTCCCCAATTGTTTCTACTTCTACACCAATAAAGACTCCATCAAAAGTTAGATTTGGAAATAATGTAACACCAACAAAACCTGAAGAAGAAAAGCATGTTAACTTCAACCAAATCAACAATGATGATGAAGAAATACATGCAAGTGACTTCTCAAGTATTTCCAGTCCAATAAATGACACTTCTAGCAAACTAGAACAAGTGAATGATGGATTGATGAAAACTTATGATGAAGTTCACGAAAAAGTTCAAGAAGCAGAAGAAAAACTTGCTGAAGACAATCAATAACTTTATATATTATATTATTATTTTCTTTAATTCTAAAAATGTATTATTCTTTTTTTATTCAAAATCCTTAATTATTGTTTTGTCCAAGGAAAATGTAGAACTTAAGGGTGCACTTACGCCCCTATGACAGGGCTTTCAATTCAGATGTTTAAGGTTAAAATTCAATGACGCTTCACGCCAGTTGTCAAAAATTTGAATTAATGTCAGATGGGCGTAAGTGCAGCCTTAAATCATTGTCTTTGGTACTTGTTGATATTCAAAATCAAGACCAATATTTCAAATTTTAATATTCATTCCCTTGCATGAATCACCAAAGGATAAGAGTCAAATATGCCCAAAAAAAGTTCGCTGATATTAATTAATTTTAACTCATTGATCAAGAAAAATGCAAAGCCCAAATTAGATTAGAGATATTGTATTGCATAAAGATATTTGTGTTAATAATATTAAATCCAGAAAATTCTGATTGACATTTATTTAAAGACAAATGATGTATAATATTCTTAAAATATTCCTTTGGATTAAAGAGTTCTGTAGCTCGATCAAAAATTTTCGGAATATTACTATCAATATAACAATTATTTACTATTATAGGACTAGAATTATAGAAAATGGAAACCCCATTTGGAACTCTATTATTTTGAAAAGAACAGCTATCGACATTCATTTTATTGTTAACATGATAGATCAATCCATAAACAGTGCCGACTTGAGAGTTATTTATGATATTTGAATGGTCAAATGTAGATTGATAACATGCATTTATCAGCATATAACCAACATCTGCAACGTTATTAGCATATGTTGAGTATTTAAAATAAATTGGAGCGGTTTGACTTCTGACAAAACTTCCTGAAACAGTATACGATTTGCATGAAGTGAAATTCGTATTCAATATAGAAATGTTGCCATTATCTTGAAACGTTGTATCACCTCCTAAATTTCCTGCCTTTCCACATCCAAACAATGTACTTTCATTTATATAATTATGGCAATTTTCTCCAACTTTTAAATATGAAAATTGACCATAACTATCTGTAAAAGAGTTAAATGAACAAAATCTTCGTTGAACTATCGAACTTGCTTGGTTATTGGTGTATATACATCCACCGTCTCCAGAGGAAGAACAATTGTAGAATTCGCAAAAGTTATGGAGAAATTTGGAATCAGAAGTAGAACTAAAATTTATAACTTTATCTTTGTCTTCTAAAAATGTGCATTCTTCTAAGTAATATTGAGATCGTCCGGCTTGAATTTGACAATTTTGACATTTTTCAATTTGACCTTTAAATGGATCTTTGTAGTATTCCTCCCATACATCAACATCTCCTGAAAGCTGCCAATTTGAATAGATTCTATCATAATAATTTGACTTTAAAAATTAAAAATAACCGTTGTTTTATGGGGAGATTTCAAAAGTGCCATAATTTTCAAAGATTGTCAAATGATATAACCAGAATTTCTGAGATTGTTTCATCATTCTATGAAATCTCCTGAAATAAATAACTTTATCATTAATCACCATTGAAATAAACGCGTGACATTTATTATTACTATTCATATATTGGAGAATTGTCTTAAGAGTGCTGTATTGCCGATATGTAAACATTTCAAATATTGACTCCTCTTTAAAGATACTCAATATGAAAGTAATTAAAATTGCTTTTATGAAGATAGTCTTTTGTGATGGATCCTTAAGATATTTGAGAATAGTATTATTCAAGTATAAATTGAAATTTAAGAAAAAAAAGTTATTTTATATTTTTGAACAGAAAAAAAAATCAAAAATTTTTTTTACTCATCAAGCCAAGCGTTCATTACCTTTTCATGTCCTAAAAGGAATCTTGCGACTTCAGGTGTTACGTCCTTGAACTTGTTTTCGTTGAAATCAGGTCTCATTGCCAGAACTTTCCTCATAAACCTGTCTCTGACGTTGTTTCTGAATGGGAATCTCTGCTGAGGAGGCCACGATTTTCCTAATGGAGGAAGAGCCATTGAATCAACTTTTTCGAAGAAAAGCAATGATCCAAACTTTCCATTGTAGTTAGATACAGCAGCATCCATCAGTTCTGTTGTCTTGAACATAACTAAAGCGAGAGATCCGCAAAGATCAACTCTCATTGCAGATTTGAATTCATCTTTGATTAATTTCAATTCTTTTGGTTCTGTAACTAAGAATTGTCTGTCTTTTGATGAATTCGTTTGATCTCTGTATATCTTAAGATCGGATACCTCTTTATAAAGCTTGGCTTCGTCAATTGACATCGATCTGGCTGCAATTATTTGAGAATTATCTCGTTTAAGGCCTTCGATGACATTTAAAGCATCCTGGTGTGACATCATTGTGCAAGTGGCTGTCCCAAGACTTTCCCACTTCTCATTAAGGTTCAAACGAGGTGCTTGCACTGCGCCATATTTTTCGCAAATTTCGCGAACGTGTTGGCCGCATGTAACGGTGTTAGGAAGGTTCTTGAGAGCAACTTTAACGAATGAATCTTCATCGCCCATGTGAGTTGCGGCTTCAAGAAGATAATAATGGAAATAATCTGTTTCACGTGGAGACATGTCAACTTTAACAATGGATGAGCCTACAATGCACATGTTGAAGAATAAGAAGGCTGAATCGGCTGCTTTGTGGTCAGCAAATCTGATGTAATAAGATTTATCGACTTTTTCGATGTTTTTGATCTCTCCGAGCTTTTCAAAGAGAGATTTGATGCCTGGGAATGCTTCTTCGGATACGTCATTAACAACAACTTCTTGGAAAGCCTTTGCTAAAGGTTTATAAGTATAATTTGTAATATTTGCATCAGATTCAGTAGCTGCTTTGGCCGCTTTTTTTGTTTCATATTGGATATAGCCATATCCTTTGTTCTGAACTAAATACGAGAAAATAATTTTGCCAAAGGATTTATACTTATCATAGAATGATTTGTTGGTTGTTTCTGGTGAAACACCTGATATTAAAACAGCATTATCGGAAGAAAAGCGTAATTGGCGTATCTTTGGTGACATAAATTGAATGAAAATGCTGCTTGTTTCAAGTCTCATGAAATTGGCTTCATCAAATGCCTTTTCAGCCTGTTCTTTAGCTTTATATTGTATGAAACTGTATTGGAAATCAACAGAACGGTATTTACGAAGTAAAATTTGTTCAATTTCACCATATTTGCTGAAGATTTCACGCATCTTGTCTTCAGTGTATGTTGCTGGTATATCGGAAATGTAAATTACTGCTTCGCTTTGGAACATTATAGCTCTTTACAAGTATAAATCAAATAATGATCCCTAAAATCTCTCAAATTTGGTCACTTCAATTTTTTGCAAAATATTAATCTGTATATAATATAGATCTTCTTCGTATAAAATAATTTCAAATTTTTATTATTTCCGTATCTTCTGAAAATTGAATTGAGTTTTATTAGGATTACGGCATAAATATTAAACAAAAATAAAAAAAATATCGAATTTGGTTTAAAAAGTGCAGCAATAAAGAACCCTACTAAATGCAAATAACCTTCTCAGTATTCTTCGCGAATTCCTTTAGCATCATCGTCAAAAGACTTTGTGAACTCAACTCATGTTTACAAAACCGTCAAATATTCAGAGGATTCTGAAGAAGAAGACGATGATGATTTATAGGAAATGGCAACCAATAAATTAACGAATATTGTGAGAATTCCTTCCGAAGGAACATATGAATATTACAGGGATGATTCATTCGAAGAAGAGGAAGAAGAAGACTTTTTCGCAACTCCTTCTTATTCTGATGAATCTCAAACAAACGAAGAAAAGTCAATAGTTACAAACACACAAACTATGGAATTACCTTCTCCGAATCAGATATCAATGGTAATTATTCTTATTCGTATTCAGAATATTACAAATCTTATTCTACCACAAAAAGTGAACTAAAAAGTGACTCGAGAAATGTGACAAATTCACCAAAATTTGTAGATAAGAAGATTGATTTGCGACCACCACTTCCACCATCATGATATCTGAGACCTGTAGTTGTTTCAAGATTTGATAAGCAACAAAAGAAAACCGATGAAAAAACTTATGCTTTTTTTCGTACAAAAATATTTTAAGGGTCCACTGTAAGGCCAAATAAGGCCTATCGTCGTCCCAAAAATATTGCTCAAGATGGTGTTTTACTAAGGCCCAAAACTTAAAAAAACACAAAAAAATTAACTCTACTCTTTTGAGATCCCTATCAGATGTGCATCAATTTGATGCAGTATCGCAATTCGAATCCGATTTTTTAATGTAGATGTACTCTAACATTCTTGAAAAAATGCAAAACAATATTAATTAAGCTTTTCATTTCTGTATCATACACGAAACAAAATCATTCATTATACTAAAATTTATCAAAGTTTGAATAATGAAAAAAATAATATCTAAATTTTTACATTGAGTCGTCTATTGATATGGTTAATATTAAGTCGTGCAAAAATGGGTATTGGCCAGAATAATACCCACTAAAATACACTTTTTTAAAATTTTTTTCAATTTGTTATGGTGTATCTTTATGATAATCAATAAAATGTTTATTTTTCATAAGTAAATACATACTTTATGCTTAAACACAAAAAATAACACCAAAATTTTTGACCAACATATCTGAGTGGGGGACAAACTCGCCCATTGTCACTTTTCATTAACCTTAAACTTGTAATTTTCATTATTTTAATTAACCTTATTTCTTTCCCAATTCCTGATTTATTTTATTCACTTACTATTAAAAGTCACATTTTAATAAAATATAATAATTTATTTATAGCATTTTTTACTATACTGTAATAAAAAATTAATTATAATAAATTAAATGTTTATTAAATCAAATGTTTTCTTTGCAATAATATTTTTAATGTTGAGTAAACAATGTTGGGATCAAGTGTATCATTTTTCAGACCTTTCTGAACAGCTTCAAGCATACTGATGCATTCGACTTTTTTAAATTGTGTCATTTCTTCGAAATCTCTTGTGACTTTTTTGATAACTTTAACACTTCTCTCTGAATCCAGACCTTTAATTTGCAACTTAATCAGGAATGAAGGAACAACACTGGAATATAACTCGATGACAAGTTCATCGAGTCAAAGATTTCGCCTTTCTGGGAAGTACTGGTGCTTCAAAACCTTGAAATGTGATTCCGAGATGTTGTTTGTTCCATCTCCTTCATTTCTATAGCGAAGCATCCACCTGTCAAGATGATGGCGCCACTGTCGGTCAAAGTATTCACGGGCAGCAGGTTCCTCATTTAAAATTTCTTCTAAATTGTTGTAAACTTCATCAGGATCAATTTCTTCCTCTTCAGAACCAAAGACCAATAACTTCATTAAGTTATAGAAAGTTTCGAAGTTGGAACGATCTTGAAACTTTTCAGCCTTTCTCATGACAGCGCGCAACACATGAACGCCACACCAAATGATCTGGCATAAAGGGATGGCTGTTTCAACAGCATTTGTGATTTGAGGTGCGCAGTCCATTGAAAAATAAGATGGTTCGCGATTGATGGAGCCAAAATATGCTGTGAGACAAACTTGTATATTTTCACTTGTGTCGGGCCAAACGAAAAAATACAAAAACGGAAAAACAATTGATTCCGCGAATTTGCCAGTGACGGCATAAAATGGTATGCGAGAGCGCAAGAGCTTATAAGTGGAATCAATGTGATAAGTTTGTATTTGATGTGAAAAAGCATTTGCTTCGAATGGGGCGTAATAGAAAATCATACGATCTGGCTCGTGAATAAACTCGATGAGATCATCCGGAGAATGACTCTTAACCATGTCAACAAAAATTGCAAGAGATGTAACATCATCCGCTGAGAAACGGGTATTGATTGCATGAAGGCGTTTAGAAAACTTTTTTAAAGCATCTGTAGATTGTTGAAACATTTCCGGAATGATCCCACTATCAAATGGGATATTAAGATCTTTGAAACACCTTAATTGTGTGTAAACACGGTCTTGATTTGATTCAAAATATCTTGTTAAATAAGATCTATAAAAATATGATGTAATTTGTTGTGATTTGTTTGGAAAAGGGGCAGAATGATTGTGGGTGTTAATACATTTTCGTATGTGGTACTTGTCATCGGGAAGTGTATCAACAAGGAAGCGACATGGACAATTCGGCCACTTACAATTAATTTGGATTTGATTTCTTTCTTTCCTAGTTTTATATGAATAACTACAACCTGCTTGGATTTCTTGTTGCACTCCATACTTAAGCAACTCGATATATGTGAGTTCGTGATCTTGGATCTGCATTAAAATGAAATGATTTGAAAGAATAAAGAATTTTGAATATATTGGTCTTATTTTGATAAGCTTGGTCGTGTTTTGAATAGCTTGGCCATCTAATTCAATTATGATCTTTGAAAATTAGGTGAAATAAAACTAAACATAAATGTAAAACTAGGGATATGAAATTTTGGTTGTACACCACTTGTATGTGCCGGATACCATTGTGTCAAATTTTTTCTGAAATTAACTTTAAAAGTACTAAGTAAGATCATGAGATATAGCAATATATGTTTAAACCAACTTATATTTTGGTTGTACACCACTTGTATGTGCCGGATACCATTGTGTCAAATTTTTTCTGAAATTAACTTTAAAAGTACTAAGTAAGATCATGAGATATAGCAATATATGTTTAAACCAACTTATATTTTGGTTGTACACCACTTGTATGTGCCGGATACCATTGTGTCAAATTTTTTCTGAAATTAACTTTAAAAGTACTAAGTAAGATCATGAGATATAGCAATATATGTTTAAACCAACTTATATTTTGGTTGTACACCACTTGTATGTGCCGGATACCATTGTGTCAAATTTTTTCTGAAATTAACTTTAAAAGTACTAAGTAAGATCATTTATTTTTGCATAATATAATGCCAATATGGTTTCTTTTGATTTTATTTCATTTATAAGCAAATCAGATTTACCCAAAAACTCCACTCCATAAGCGTTCATTTGCTAAATTAAAAAGTGACAATGGGCTAGTCTGTCCCTTTCTCTTTTCCTATCTCTTGATCAAAGATAGTAAGTGAATATAAATAAAATTTATAAATAATATAAATTTGACTTTTTTTTTGAAATAAATAACAAATAAAAAATCTTTGTATTGTTTTTATTCCTTATTTTAGCAAAAAGTATAATTAATATTTTTAGACACTCAAAAACCTCTGATGCGCTTTCAATTTTCTGACGACTACACAAAAATCTAATCAATTATTTTTAATAATGAATAATTATCAAAGGATATTAAAACATAAGCATTTTTATTAAATGCCATAATTCAATTATATTGAAATGCAACTCAATTCAAATTTATCATATGTTCTTACACCTTTTTGCTTCAGCAGTTAACTCACAAGTATTCACATGTATGCATGATATTTACACGAATCAGCAACTTCGTTCAAGTGAACCAGAATCATTGCGAAATCTTCGGGATGAATCAACTTCAACTCCAGAATCAAATCCAAATGAAAATCAATTTAAATGTAATCCAAAACTTCATCCTGCAACATATAATTTGAGAATTGATTTTCGAATGCAAGGAATTGACAATGAAGTAATCAAGAAAACATTCAATTATGTAAACGATTTTCTTAGTAAACGTATTAATGTTACTGATCGTGCAAGAAGTTTAGATGATGATTTTGATCTCGTTATTGATGTAAAGGCTGAATCATTTGAAAAAGGTTCAAATGGCCTTGCATTTGCACGTTCTACATACAATCATCCCACAACTGGCAGACCGACACATGGGGAAATTACACTTAATTCAAATAAGATACCATTTGAGGCACAAACACTAGAATCGGGTGATAGACAATTCATTTTAACGGTTATTCACGAATTAAATCACATTCTGTCATTCAGTAGCTCGTTATTTAATAAATGGCAACCTTATGGAGAAACAGCCACAATTGTCCACTATACCGATTGGCAAGGTAAAGAAATATCTAAAGGCGAATACGAAAGCTACAATGATAATAGGGTTCCACATATGTACGTCAGATCTCCATGTTTGACAGAATGGGTGAATAATAGATTCAAAGTAAAAAATGAAACACTCATCAATATCGGCCTTGAACTTGAAGACTCAGGCGGTGGCGGAACAGCTGGTTCCCATCCAAACGAAAAACTTTTCTTCACAGATCTCATGCAAGGTAGAACATACGGTCCAGGCTGGCTTTCACCAATCTTCTACAACACATTGTTAGATACCGGATGGTATGTTCCATCCAAAAAAACCTCATGGAAAGACCTCATTTACTTAGATGACCACATCAATACAAAGATCCACGTAAACGAGTCAATTCTTTTGAAACCACCACAGCATTCTATTCCTCTTCCATACCAATGCCAATCAACCTCTCTCCAGGCTTGCTTCTACGATTACACATGGACAGGCACATGCTCACTTGTTCAATGGAACGATCCAGGAAAAGTTGAACCGGAAGACATGAATAAAAAAGACTGGTACAATCCAAACGGACAATCACTTGTCGGCCAGGATAACATGCTTGATTACGCAAACTTAGTTCTTCCATGGTATTCATGCAGATCAACAGGTGACAATGGTTTGAAGCGTATGGTTGAGTTCGAACCAGACTACAACTACTCCAAGTATGGTGAAGCATTCTTACCGAACTCAACATGCGCAATGTCCACACTTCAACAAGGTTTCACAGGCAGCTTGCTTTCAACATCAAGATGCTACGAAGCATGGTGTGGTACAGATCACAGAGTCAGATTGATTGTCAACGGTGAAGAGTACTACTGCAAGAAAGATGGTCAACAAGCCAAGTTCTCTGGTTTCGCAGGCTCCATTACATGCCCACCTGCCGCTCAAGTCTGCGCAAACAGAAAATTAAAAGAGATATTTGGTGTTACATCTCTCTTCCCAGATCGTGGACCAATCGATGGACAGAACTTAGTCGCCATCGTTGGTAACAATTATGATAATTACCAAAATGTCACAATTACACTCGGTACAGTTCCTTGCGAAATCAAGGTTTACAAGGATAACTACATCCTTTGCAAGCTTCAAAAGCCAGATGATAATACACAGAAGTTAATCAGAGAGAAGTCTAATATATTGAAGCAGACACTTGACACAAACACTGAAAAGAATGAGTACAGAATGTTCAAGGCATTCTACGTTGTAAAGTCTACAAATAATAGAACTAACACTACTTATCCAGATTCATACTACTTCACAAAGAGGAAGTATGACACAGGAATGAAGGACTAAAAGAGTTCAATCTTTTTCAATATTGAAAAAGTTGAATATAATTTTTTTTCTCTAATTATTTAGTATTATATATCGATCTATGCCTTTATTTGGGTGTTTAATGCTTTATTTATTAAGTGCACGAATTGTATTCATCATGAAAAATTTGAAATGTTAAATTCATTTTCCTATCGAGTGGGGGACAAACTCGCCCATTGTCACTTTTCATTAACCTTAAACTTGTAATTTTCATTATTTTAATTAACCTTATTTCTTTCCCAATTCCTGATTTATTTTATTCACTTACTATTAAAAGTCACATTTTAATAAAATATAATAATTTATTTATAGCATTTTTTACTATACTGTAATAAAAAATTAATTATAATAAATTAAATGTTTATTAAATCAAATGTTTTCTTTGCAATAATATTTTTAATGTTGAGTAAACAATGTTGGGATCAAGTGTATCATTTTTCAGACCTTTCTGAACAGCTTCAAGCATACTGATGCATTCGACTTTTTTAAATTGTGTCATTTCTTCGAAATCTCTTGTGACTTTTTTGATAACTTTAACACTTCTCTCTGAATCCAGACCTTTAATTTGCAACTTAATCAGGAATGAAGGAACAACACTGGAATATAACTCGATGACAAGTTCATCGAGTCAAAGATTTCGCCTTTCTGGGAAGTACTGGTGCTTCAAAACCTTGAAATGTGATTCCGAGATGTTGTTTGTTCCATCTCCTTCATTTCTATAGCGAAGCATCCACCTGTCAAGATGATGGCGCCACTGTCGGTCAAAGTATTCACGGGCAGCAGGTTCCTCATTTAAAATTTCTTCTAAATTGTTGTAAACTTCATCAGGATCAATTTCTTCCTCTTCAGAACCAAAGACCAATAACTTCATTAAGTTATAGAAAGTTTCGAAGTTGGAACGATCTTGAAACTTTTCAGCCTTTCTCATGACAGCGCGCAACACATGAACGCCACACCAAATGATCTGGCATAAAGGGATGGCTGTTTCAACAGCATTTGTGATTTGAGGTGCGCAGTCCATTGAAAAATAAGATGGTTCGCGATTGATGGAGCCAAAATATGCTGTGAGACAAACTTGTATATTTTCACTTGTGTCGGGCCAAACGAAAAAATACAAAAACGGAAAAACAATTGATTCCGCGAATTTGCCAGTGACGGCATAAAATGGTATGCGAGAGCGCAAGAGCTTATAAGTGGAATCAATGTGATAAGTTTGTATTTGATATGAAAAAGCATTTGCTTCGAATGGGGCGTAATAGAAAATCATACGATCTGGCTCGTGAATAAACTCGATGAGATCATCCGGAGAATGACTCTTAACCATGTCGACAAAAATTGCAAGAGATGTAACATCATCCGCTGAGAAACGGGTATTGATTGCATGAAGGCGTTTAGAAAACTTTTTTAAAGCATCTGTAGATTGTTGAAACATTTCCGGAATGATCCCACTATCAAATGGGATATTAAGATCTTTGAAACACCTTAATTGTGTAAACACGGTCTTGATTTGATTCAAAATATCTTGTTAAATAAGATCTATAAAAATATGATGTAATTTGTTGTGATTTGTTTGGAAAAGGGGCAGAATGATTGTGGGTGTTAATACATTTTCGTATGTGGTACTTGTCATCGGGAAGTGTATCAACAAGGAAGCGACATGGACAATTCGGCCACTTACAATTAATTGGATTTGATTTCTTTCTTTCCTAGTTTTATATGAATAACTACAACCTGCTTGGATTTCTTGTTGCACTCCATACTTAAGCAACTCGATATATGTGAGTTCGTGATCTTGGATCTGCATTAAAATGAAATGATTTGAAAGAATAAAGAATTTTGAATATATTGGTCTTATTTTGATAAGCTTGGTCGTGTTTTGAATAGCTTGGCCATCTAATTCAATTATGATCTTTGAAAATTAGGTGAAATAAAACTAAACATAAATGTAAAACTAGGGATATGAAATTTTGGTTGTACACCACTTGTATGTGCCGGATACCATTGTGTCAAATTTTTTCTGAAATTAACTTTAAAAGTACTAAGTAAGATCATGAGATATAGCAATATATGTTTAAACCAACTTATATTTTGGTTGTACACCACTTGTATGTGCCGGATACCATTGTGTCAAATTTTTTCTGAAATTAACTTTAAAAGTACTAAGTAAGATCATTTATTTTTGCATAATATAATGCCAATATGGTTTCTTTTGATTTTATTTCATTTATAAGCAAATCAGATTTACCCAAAAACTCCACTCCATAAGCGTTCATTTGCTAAATTAAAAAGTGACAATGGGCTAGTCTGTCCCTTTCTCTTTTCCTATCTCTTGATCAAAGATAGTAAGTGAATATAAATAAAATTTATAAATAATATAAATTTGACTTTTTTTTTGAAATAAATAACAAATAAAAAATCTTTGTATTGTTTTTATTCCTTATTTTAGCAAAAAGTATAATTAATATTTTTAGACACTCAAAAACCTCTGATGCGCTTTCAATTTTCTGACGACTACACAAAAATCTAATCAATTATTTTTAATAATGAATAATTATCAAAGGATATTAAAACATAAGCATTTTTATTAAATGCCATAATTCAATTATATTGAAATGCAACTCAATTCAAATTTATCATATGTTCTTACACCTTTTTGCTTCAGCAGTTAACTCACAAGTATTCACATGTATGCATGATATTTACACGAATCAGCAACTTCGTTCAAGTGAACCAGAATCATTGCGAAATCTTCGGGATGAATCAACTTCAACTCCAGAATCAAATCCAAATGAAAATCAATTTAAATGTAATCCAAAACTTCATCCTGCAACATATAATTTGAGAATTGATTTTCGAATGCAAGGAATTGACAATGAAGTAATCAAGAAAACATTCAATTATGTAAACGATTTTCTTAGTAAACGTATTAATGTTACTGATCGTGCAAGAAGTTTAGATGATGATTTTGATCTCGTTATTGATGTAAAGGCTGAATCATTTGAAAAAGGTTCAAATGGCCTTGCATTTGCACGTTCTACATACAATCATCCCACAACTGGCAGACCGACACATGGGGAAATTACACTTAATTCAAATAAGATACCATTTGAGGCACAAACACTAGAATCGGGTGATAGACAATTCATTTTAACGGTTATTCACGAATTAAATCACATTCTGTCATTCAGTAGCTCGTTATTTAATAAATGGCAACCTTATGGAGAAACAGCCACAATTGTCCACTATACCGATTGGCAAGGTAAAGAAATATCTAAAGGCGAATACGAAAGCTACAATGATAATAGGGTTCCACATATGTACGTCAGATCTCCATGTTTGACAGAATGGGTGAATAATAGATTCAAAGTAAAAAATGAAACACTCATCAATATCGGCCTTGAACTTGAAGACTCAGGCGGTGGCGGAACAGCTGGTTCCCATCCAAACGAAAAACTTTTCTTCACAGATCTCATGCAAGGTAGAACATACGGTCCAGGCTGGCTTTCACCAATCTTCTACAACACATTGTTAGATACCGGATGGTATGTTCCATCCAAAAACCTCATGGAAGACCTCATTTACTTAGATGACCACATCAATACAAAGATCCACGTAAACGAGTCAATTCTTTTGAAACCACCACAGCATTCTATTCCTCTTCCATACCAATGCCAATCAACCTCTCTCCAGGCTTGCTTCTACGATTACACATGGACAGGCACATGCTCACTTGTTCAATGGAACGATCCAGGAAAAGTTGAACCGGAAGACATGAATAAAAAAGACTGGTACAATCCAAACGGACAATCACTTGTCGGCCAGGATAACATGCTTGATTACGCAAACTTAGTTCTTCCATGGTATTCATGCAGATCAACAGGTGACAATGGTTTGAAGCGTATGGTTGAGTTCGAACCAGACTACAACTACTCCAAGTATGGTGAAGCATTCTTACCGAACTCAACATGCGCAATGTCCACACTTCAACAAGGTTTCACAGGCAGCTTGCTTTCAACATCAAGATGCTACGAAGCATGGTGTGGTACAGATCACAGAGTCAGATTGATTGTCAACGGTGAAGAGTACTACTGCAAGAAAGATGGTCAACAAGCCAAGTTCTCTGGTTTCGCAGGCTCCATTACATGCCCACCTGCCGCTCAAGTCTGCGCAAACAGAAAATTAAAAGAGATATTTGGTGTTACATCTCTCTTCCCAGATCGTGGACCAATCGATGGACAGAACTTAGTCGCCATCGTTGGTAACAATTATGATAATTACCAAAATGTCACAATTACACTCGGTACAGTTCCTTGCGAAATCAAGGTTTACAAGGATAACTACATCCTTTGCAAGCTTCAAAAGCCAGATGATAATACACAGAAGTTAATCAGAGAGAAGTCTAATATATTGAAGCAGACACTTGACACAAACACTGAAAAGAATGAGTACAGAATGTTCAAGGCATTCTACGTTGTAAAGTCTACAAATAATAGAACTAACACTACTTATCCAGATTCATACTACTTCACAAAGAGGAAGTATGACACAGGAATGAAGGACTAAAAGAGTTCAATCTTTTTCAATATTGAAAAAGTTGAATATAATTTTTTTTCTCTAATTATTTAGTATTATATATCGATCTATGCCTTTATTTGGGTGTTTAATGCTTTATTTATTAAGTGCACGAATTGTATTCATCATGAAAAATTTGAAATGTTAAATTCATTTTCCTATCGAGTGGGGGACAAACTCGCCCATTGTCACTTTTCATTAACCTTAAACTTGTAATTTTCATTATTTTAATTAACCTTATTTCTTTCCCAATTCCTGATTTATTTTATTCACTTACTATTAAAAGTCACATTTTAATAAAATATAATAATTTATTTATAGCATTTTTTACTATACTGTAATAAAAAATTAATTATAATAAATTAAATGTTTATTAAATCAAATGTTTTCTTTGCAATAATATTTTTAAT